ATCCCAACACTTTGGGAGGCTGAGGCGGTGGATCACGAGGTCAGGAGTTCGAGACCAGCCTGGCAAACATTGGTGAAACCCCGTCTCTACTAAAAATACAAAAATTAGCCAGGTGTGGTGGTGCACACCTGTAATCTCAGCTACTCGGGAGGCTGACGCAGGAGAATCACTTGAACCCAGGAGGCAGAGGTTGCAGTGAGCCTCTCCCAGGTTGCAGTGAGTTTGCAGTGAGTCCAGATCGGCCACCATTGCACTCCAGCCTGGGCAATCAATAGAGTGAGACTCTGTCTCAAAAAAAAAAAGAAGAAGAATTTGACAAAATCTTCCCCTGTTTCTAGCTGAGTGATCAGATAAATTCAAATACAGTGAGGGAGAAAGAAGTGGATATAGATAATCACAACTTAAGACCATCTTACAGCTGGAGTGGAAGGATATACTCAGCCAGTGACCTGACCTCCTCACACGTGAATTAAGGTTTCCCTGGATTCATCCTGGAAATGAAGTTTGTCTCCACTCCAGTGAGAACCTCATGGATCGAGTGTCCCTAAGCATATCCTCAACTCATCCTCAATCAAAACCTGACCCAACCCAATTTAATACAAACCAATCCAACTGCATCATACACAGCCCCGACCCCATCAACCCAACGCAACTTAACCTAACAAGCCAACCCTTATGTCTTCCCTCGTTGTTTGATTCCCCATCAAACAAAACTCATGGCCACTGTCAAATCTGATAGCTACTTCCATGTCTTCTACCTCCAAAATTAAACCCAGCCTCATCCCCAATTCAATCCCCACGGATTTCTGAGCCAACGTCAAAACAAATCTATTTCCATCCCAAAGCCATGCCATCCTAAATCACCTCGACAGTGCCAATCCCAAATTCATCCCAAGCACAATTTTACCCCATCTCAAACCCAACTCCAATCTGACCCTTCATTCTAACTGGTCTTCATGCTCCACTCCTATACCTAGCACATCTAACCAAAGAAAACCAAATACAACCACATGCCAGTTCTCAAGCCTGTCCAGAGCCTCCTCTCCACCCGTGATGATGCTCCCTTGGCTGTGACCTCACAGGAGTCCGTGTCTTCACCCCCTACTCCTGCACACACCATGGCGTTCATCAGGGTCCTTGGTAGTCCCTTTTACACAATGTGGTGGACATAAGGCTGATGCTGGCACAGTGCCTCGTATTTGGGAGACTCACTTGGGAGAGCAGTGGACTTGGGGAAGACACATAAGTTCAGGTCCCTGTGCCCTCCACCCAGAAGCCTTTGGGATTTCATGGATGGTGACATACAGCCATTCTCTAGCACTTTTGAGTCCTGGATCAAGTCCTAGATCCCTATGGTTCCAGGCTCCCTGTCTGACACCAGGCCCTAGCCTGGCACCATGCAGGCCACTCCCACCAGAGGAGGATGTCGGCAGCTGTACAGTTGGCAGGTGGCTGGAGAGGCGAGCTGCAGGGATAGTTGCAGTAACATGACGTCATGGTGCTGGCCACACTCTCATAGTGTGGATGCTGGATGATGAGTGGATGACACCCAAGGACTCTGGGACATCGCTCATATGCAGATTGTGCTCGCCCCGGGGCACCTTCATGGAGCTAGAAGGGCTGGTGATACCCTCAAGTGGAGTAAGGATTAGGTGGCAAGATGGAAGAATGGGTAACCCTCAATCCTCGGACTCTTGGGGAATCAAGAGATCCCATTACTGTCACCCCAAACTCTGAACCCAGTGGTTCCAGCCTCTGCCCTTCAGGGGCCAAGGAGGGACTCAAGCCACAAATACACCCCCAGAACTCTACCCCTCAGGATTCCAGCACCTTCTTCCTGAGGATATGAGATTCTTAGGCCATTCCCACATCAGTACCTTGGGAGCTGGGATCTTAGCAGTCTCCTCCCTCATTGACCTAAGAGTTCAGAACTGACACTATCCCTGCCCCAGGACCTTCACCTCCAGCCTCTTCCTCCTTTGAAATTCAAGAGGCCGGACCCACTCCTCACTCAAACCCAGAAGTTCTGATCCCCAGCCATGCCCCTTCAGGATCCTGAGCACTGCCTTATTCTGGATTTGGCAGTGAAGTGCTGCCAGACACAGTCAGGATCGGGACTCAGAACCTTGGTTTGCCATAAAGAAGCGAGATGTGATAGAAAAAGTATTTAATGGTGGAACGTTGAGATTGCCCTGCAGACAAGGGTGGAAGACTCTGGCTGAACAGTGTTGGGAGGCAATTCTCCATGGTTCTGTCACGTATCTGTGTGTCTTCTGAGCAAAGACAGCAACACCTTTTTTTTTCTGGATTGTCTTTTCAAGAATGTTTGTGTAGCAGGCATCCTTGCAAGATGACATCTCTCTCAGATCCAGGATTGCGTACTGTCCTAGATAATAAAGATAATATCTCTTACAACAGATTTGTTTACTGTCAAGAGCAATAAATACAATATGTTCCTCCAGAGTAGGTCTGTTTTCAATCCAAGATCATAAAGATAGTATCTTCATCAGGGACAAAGGCTGAGCAGTTTACAAGTTGTCCCGGTAAAAGATTGAGGATTCCTCATCTCAGGTTTCTCACCGGTGGCACAAACCCTGTGTGCACAGCATCCATCTGGACTGCTCTGGTCACCCTACAAGATTTGGGGGGGCAAGGTGAACTAATGTGAACATGAACCTCATGCTGTCTGCTGAGCTGTGAGCAGTAAAATCCTTTGTCTCTGACTCAGGAGTCTCATGGACTCTGCCGGCATTCACAGAACTCTGGCAAGTTAGCTTCTTTGTTTGCAGGTCGGTAAAATGCCAACCCCTTCAGAGTTACTGACACTGAGACTGCACTGGCCAGCTGGGAATGGAGATAGGAGGGGACCCAGCTGGATGCAGTGGGCAGTGGGGGTCATAGAGGCAAAAGGGTACGGAATACAGTGGGATCCTAGTATCATGGTGGAGGTCAGAAAGAGCCCTAAAAGAGAGGGTCAAGGTAGGAGGTTAGTGAAGGTCCACCTCCACCCTCTCCAGGACAGGGACATCAGGTCACAGTTAATTTCCCTGCAGTTAGTGAGTGATCATGGTCTCTGGAGGCTCCAGCATCCAGAGCGTCCCCGGTCTAGTGGTCCCCCCTTTCTGAGCCACAGCTGCTTTCTCCATCAAATGAGGCCAGTAATACCCACCCCAGAGTGATGCTGTGAGGATTAGATGAGCATCTGTAAGTGCTGAAGATAATGCCTGACACATCCCAACCATTCAGCAGTGCAAGCATACACTTACACGGCACTCCTTAGAGCCAGGCATGTGCTGGTGCCTCATGCATGTGACCACATTTGATCCTCACAATGACCCTGTGAGGGAGACTGTGCAACAGAGGACTGACCTCGCCCAAAGACCTCAGGCCTTTGCCGTCAGAGCCTGAGACGTCATCTCCTATTTTTTTTTTTCTCCTTTCTTTCTTTTTCTTTTCCACGGAGATTGCAGTGAGCCGAAATTGTGCCACTGCACTGCTGCCTGGTGACAGAGCAAGATTCCGTCTCAAAAAAAAGAAAAAAAAGAATTATTGGGCCAGGCACGCTGGCTCATGCCTGCAATCCCAGCACTTTGGGAGGTCAAAGCAGGTGGATCACCTGAGGTCAGGAGTTTGAGACCAGCCTGGCCAACATGGTGAAACTCCATCTCTACTAAAAATACAAAAATTAGTTGGGCATGGTGGCAGGCACCTGTAATCTCAGCTACTCAGGAGGCTGAGGAAGGAGAATCACCTTAACCCAGAAGGCAAAGGTTGCAGTGAGCCAACATTGTACCACTGTACTCTAGCCTGGGGAGCAGGAACAAAACTCCATTGGAAAACTGAGGGCCTTCCTTGGATTTTTGTTTATATTAACTGCCAAGACCAGCTCAGTGGGGGAGACCCTAACCCAGCAGCGCTAGAGGAATTAAAGACACACACACAGAAATATAGAGGTGTGAAGTGGGAAATCAGGGGTCTCACAGCCTTCAGAGCTGAGAGCCCCAAACAGAGATTTACCCCCATATTTATTAACAGCAAACCAGTCATTAGCATTGTTTCTAGAGATATTGAATTAACTAAAAGTATTCCTTATGAGAAACAAAGGGATGGGCTGAATTAAAGGAATGGGTTGGGCTAGTTAACTGCAGCAGGAGCATATCCTTAAGGCACAGATCGCTCATGCTATTGTTTGTGGCTTAAAAATGCCTCTAAGTGGTTTTCTGCCCAGGGCAGGCCAGGTGTTCCTTGCCCTCATTCCCTGAAACCCACAACCTTCCAGCTTGGGCCTTAGGGCCATTATGAACATGTTACAGTGCTGCATAGATTTTGTTTATGGCCAGTTTATGGCCAGATTTTGGAGGGCCTGCTCCCAACAATTCACTATATCTATTGATACATTCCACAGTAGATATTAAAACTGAGAAATCTTTCAAATATTTTGTTATTAATTTATTTTTAAATAGCAATAATACATATATGTTAACATAACATATTTTAATGAAAAACAGCTACATTTTAAGACAAAAAACTAGTGAAGAAAAAACGTTATACACTTTTGCAAGTCTCTTTAATGTCTGGCTTAATAGAAGACAGCTGGACTCTCATATCTGCTTTAGGGTTTAATTTGCTACAATATCACATCATGTAGGCTCTGGAAAATTCCACCTTGTGCTTGTGAGAGAACAAGAGTGAGAAAGGTGCTGGGCGCAGTGGCTCACACCTGTAATCCCAGCACTTTGTGGAGGCCGAGGTGGGCAGAACACCTAAGTTCAGGAGTTCAAGACAGCCTAGCCAACATGGGGAGAACCACGTCTCTACTAAAAATACAAAATTAGCTGGAGCATGGTGGCAGGCGCCTGTAATCTCAGCTACTTGGGAGATGGAGGCGAAGAATCACTTGAACTAGGAGACAGAGCGGTTGCAGTGAGCTGAGATCGTGCCATTGCACTTCAGCCTGGACAACAAGAGTGAAATCCATCTCAAAAAAAAAAAGAGTGAGAAAGGTAAATAATGTGTACAGATTATTATGAAACTAGTGTTTGACCTTGCATACCCCTGGAACGGTCTCAGGAATCCTTCCACTCCAGAGTTCCAGAATCCCCACAATGACAGCCTGAGATGGTCAGAGAGGCCCTCCCCCAGGGACAGAGAGGAACACAGAAGGAAATACAGAGATGAATATGGTGCTTTTCTTCAAGATTACCATCACGCTTTCTCTTTATCGAGTACTACTTCATGCCATACTTCATGTTGATCAGGTTTTCTAAGGTCTTCAGCTTCTTGAAAAAAAAACAAAAGATTCTTAATATAAACTTAGGTAGAACCCTGATTATCCTAATGAAAAAAGAAATAACAAATGTAAACAGCATATCTAAATGATAAAAGGAATAATACAGGAACTATTTAAAAGAGTACACAATACCAAAATCAATGCAAAATTTAGAAGATACATAATTTTTTTAACTTAGCAATTGTCTTAAATGCCTTATAAAGCTTTTCTTCTAGTTTCTTTTATTCTTATACTCTTCAATTATCTCTGCTTATGATCAAATGATTTTGTAATCTCATTTTCTTTTCTTTTTCTTTTTTTTTTTTAGACAGAGTCTCGCTGGAGTGCAGTGGTGCGATCTCGGCTCACTGCAACCTCCCCCAGGTTCAAGCAATTCTTCTGCCTCAGTCTCCCAAGTAGCTGGGACTACAGGCACATGCCACCACACCTGGCTAATTTTTGTATTTTTTCAGTAGAGCCAGGGTTTCACCATGTTGGCCAGGCTGATCTCAAGCTACTGACCTCATGATCCACTCACCTTGGCCTCTCAAAGTGCTAGGATTACAGGCATAAGCCACAACACCCGGCCTGTAATCTCATTTTCTAGGAGAAGAAAAATAGTTTAATTTGTATCACATTTGATCAAAATCTGTTTTTCATTATTAATCCTTTAGAAACATTTCTTTCAGCTTCAAAGTTTTTATTTATTTAAATTTCATATGATTTGTTCAGTATTTTTGCCCAATTTGGGGAGAAATAATAGTAAGTTTCTTTCAAATGTCAGCGGAAAGATTTCAGGATATTTCAAGTGTTCTGATCCACCAACTAATCTAACATGGTTTATAAGCTAATGACATTAGTTTATTGTTCCTTTTCTTATTGAGGGATATTATTATGAGTTTATATTATCTTCGTCAAGTCACAGTTGTGACAACTAGCAAATATCAAACGAGAAATTAATGAATAGCTGTATAGATGGGATGAGATACAGAAATAGATGGACAAAGAGAGAGGGTCAGAGAGGCTAGAAAATATGGGAGATAACCTTTGTTATCTAACACAAAGAAAAGGCTTCCTGACACAATTTCAGAAGCACAAATCATAGACCAAAATGTGGATGTACTTCATTAAAGGAAAATTTAGAATTACTGCTTAGAGGGCACTGTCGTCCAGAAACTTGTATAAGAATTCAGAATTTCTATTTATAAAAGATGACATATACCCCATTCAAAACCAAAGAGATCACTATTTAGAAGGCACGAGAAACTTCTGACATGAACAAAAGAGCAACCCCTAAAAAAATGGACAAAGCATATGAACAGGCAATTAATAAACAAGAAAAGTCAAAAAGCTAATGTGGGGAGAAAATGGTGGCTAGGAAGCAGGACTAACTTGCAACTCCCACTCAGATGGACAGAGCGGCATATGGAGACTCACATCTTGAATTTTTGCTCCAAGAACTACTGCAGGAACATACCAGGAAAGCCAAGAGAACCCACAGACCCTTTGAAGGAAGCAAATTGCTGAGGCAGCCTCCAGGAGACAGCTGAAAAACTGTCATTGCCCAAAGTGTGAAAGTGTGAAAGGGGGATCATCCGCCCCTGAACACATATGCTCACTGGGGAATCTGAAGGTCCAGATCATGGGAGAAGGATTTGACCTTACCTGGAGCTGAGATGAATTTAGAGAGCTGAACGAAATACAGGGGTAGAGGAAGCAGCAGGAAGAGCCCTGAGGGTACTCTTGGTCCCCAGGGAAGTCATTTCTGACTTTGTTTCACAGGGGTCCTTGGGGAGAGCTGCCTTTCACGCACGTCCGTGTGAAGAGACCACCAAACAGGCTTTGTGTGAGCTTTTTAATCACCTGGGTGCAGGCGGGCTGAGTCCGAAAAGAGAGTCAGCGAAGGGAGATGGGGTGGAGCTGTTTTATAGGATTTGGGTAGGTAGAGGAAAATTACAGTCAAAGGGGGTTGTTCTCTGGCAGGCAGGGGTAGGGGTCACAAGGTGCTCAGTGGGGGAGCTTTTTGAGACAGGATGAGCCAGGAGAAGGAATTTCACAAGGTAATATCATCAATTAAGGCAAGGACCGGCCATTTTCACTTCTTTTGTGGTGGAATGCCATCAGTTAAGACAGGAACAGGCCATTTAAATTTCACTTCTTTTGTGATTCTTCAGATACTTCAGGCCATCTGGATGTATACGTGCAGGTCACAGGGGAGATGATGGCTTAGCTTGGGCTCAGAGACCTGACACTGCCAATGGAATTGGGGAAAGACTACAGGGAGAAGGAAACTTCCAGCTGAACTGTGTAACAATTTCAACTGAACGCGAAGTTTCCTGTACAGAACTCAGTGGAGGGGGTGAACTGTGAGTGCAGACGTGAGCACAGAAGCTGCAGCAGGTGGGGAGGCATGAAACCTTTAAGCCCTGCTTGCTTTCTCAGCAGGGAGGCTTGCAGCCTGGGGCAAGTTCCCAGCCCTGCTCACTCGCTGCCTGGAAACAAACTGTACATTAGTGGGAGGTGCACACAGTGGGAATGAGACCAGCCTTTTGGGCTGCATGGGAGCTGGGTGAGCCCTGAAACTGCTGGCTTTCTCCCACTTTCCTGGTGAACCACATGATGCAGTAGAGGCAGCCATAATCCCCCTGGGAACATAACTCCGTTGTCCTGAGAACCACCCCCTATCCCCACAGCAGCCACAGCGACCCCCACCCAAGGAGAATCTGAGCTCAGACACGCCTAACCCTGCCCCCACCTGATGGTCTTTCTCCACCTGCCCTGGTAGCCAAAGGCAAAGGACATAATCTCTTGGAAATTCTCTGGCTCCATCCACCACCTGAGAAACTCGAATACTTATCCAGGGGTAAGTATTTATCCAGGAAAAAGGGCAAGCCGTTTTCCTCCCTGTACTACTGCAGCTGATGCTGTCTTGAAAGTGTCACCTCCTGCCTGGAGGCCAACCAACACAAAACCTGCACACGAAAAAATAATACAACCAAGGACCCCCAGCGAGTCTACTTTACTCCCCTCCTACCTCCAACAGAGCAGGTGCTGATATCCACAGTTAAGAGACCTGAAGATGAATCACATCACAGGACTCTTTGCAGACACTCCCCAGTACCAGCCCAGAGCCCAGATGCTCCACTGGGTAGCTAAATCCAGAATCTGAATAGCAGCCCGTGAGCCCCAGATCTTCCTTCTGACATAGTCTACCCAAATGATAAGGAACCAAAAAACCAATTCTGATAATACGACAAAACAAGGTTATTTAACACCCCAAAAAGATCACACTAGCTCACCAACAATGGATCCAAACCAAAAAGAAATCTTTGAAATTGCCAGAAAAAAAAATTCAGAAGATCGATTATTAAGCTACTTAAGGAGGCACCAGAGAAAGGCGAATACCAGCTTAAAGAAATTTAAAAAGTGTTGCAGGATACGGACAGAAAAATCTCCAGAGAAATAGCATAAATCAAGAACAATAACAACTTCTGGAAATGAAGGACACACTGAGAGAAATGCAAAATACACTGGAAAATCTCAGCAACAGAATCAAACAAGTAGAAGAAAGAACTTCAGAGCCCAAAGACAAGACTTTTGGATAAACTCAATCCAACAAAGACAAAGAAAAAAGAATTTTAAAAAAATGAACAAGACCTCCAAGAAGTTTGGGATTATGTTAAATGACCAACCTAAGAATAATTCATGTTCTCAAAGAAGAACAGAAATCTAAAAATTCGGAAAACATATTTGAGGGGAATAATCGAGGAAAAACTTCTTTGGCCTTGCTAGAGATCTAGATACCCAAATACGAGAAGCTCAAAGAACGCGTGAAATTCATTACAAAAAGATGACCACTGGTCGGGCGTGGTGGCTCACGCCTGTAATCCCAGCACTTTGGGAGGCTGAGGCAGGGGGATCACGAGGTCAGGAGATCAAGGCCATCCTGGCTAACACAGTGAAACCCCGTCTCTACTAAAAATACAAAAAATTAGCCGGGTGTAGCAGCGCGTGCCTGTAATCCCAGCTATTCAGGAGGCCGAGGCGGAAGAGTCGCTTGAACCCGGAAGGCAAAGGTTGCAGTGAGCCAAGATCGTGCCACTGCACTCCAGCCTGGGCAACAGAGTGAGACTCCATCTCAAAACAAAACAAAAAGATGACCACCTGGGCGCATAGTCATCAGGTTATCCAAAGTCAAGATGAAGGAGCATCAGGTAACCTATAAAGAAAACCTATTAGATTGACAGTAGATTTCTCAGCTAAAACCCTACAACCTAGAAAGGACTGGGGTCCTGCCTTTAGCCTCCTTATACGAAAAAATTATCAGCCAAGAATTTTGTATCCAGTGAAACTATTGGTAGAGCACACAAAGACTCCGGGTCAGAGACAAAGGACTTTATTACTCATGGCACAGCAGGTAGCTTGAGGTTCGTGTTCAAATGGGCTCACCTTGCCCCCTAGGTCCTACAGGGATGATCGGAGTGGCTCAGGCATATGCTGTGCTCACATGGTTTGTGTCAATGCTGGGGAACCTCTGTTTACATGTGTTTACAGATCTTCAAGCTTATAAGGGAGAGGCAAGGAAATCTGCCTGACTTTGGACCTCAGGGAGATATTACCTTTGTTATCTTGGACTGCTGATCCACCTGCCCTGGAAGGACATACTGTATTTACTATCCTAGCCAGTAAATAAATCATTATGGAAGGACATTATCTTTATTGTCTAAGACAGTAAACAAACATGTTCTGATGCTCTGGAGAAACACCCATAAAAAGACAGTCCGGAACTAAAAAGTGGCTAATACGTTTTTCAGGAGACAGGCAGAAAGGTAAGAGAACCATGGATAATTGTATCCTAACACCATTCAGTTCACACTCTTGATGCTTCCCCACAGGATAATCTCAGGCTTCCCAACCAGGCATTCAAAGTGCAGGCATTTGGTCTGGAATACAAAACCCAGCCCCAGTTTGTATTTTTTTTTTTTTTTTGGAGACAGAGTCTCACTCTGTCACCCAGGCTGGAGTACAGTGGTGTGATCTTGGCTCACTGTAACCTCCACCCCACCGCGAGTTAAGCGATTCTCCTGCCTCAGCCTCTTGAGTAGCTGGGATTACAGGCACATACCACCACACCTGGCTAAGTTTTGTATTTTTGGTAGAGACCATGTTGGCCAGGCTGGTCTCAAACTCCTGACCTCAAGTGATCCACCTGCCTCAGCCTCCCAAAGCGCTGGGATTACAGGCATGAGCCACCACGCCCAACCCGTTTGCTTTTTTTTCATTCATTTTAGAGACAGTCTCACTCCATTGCCCAGGCTGGATACAGTGGCACAACAATAGCTCACTGTAACCTTGAACTCTTGGGTTCAAGCAATCCTCCTGCCTCAGCTTCCTCAGTAGCTGGGGCTACAGGCACGTGCCACCATGCTCAGCTCATTTTTGTTTGTTTGTTTGTAGAGACAGAGTCTCACTATGCTGCTCAGGCTGGTCTTGAACTCCTGGGCTCAAGCAATTCTCCCACCTCAGCCTTTAGAGTATCTGGGACCACAGGCGTGTGCCACCGCACCCAACCTCATTTGTCTATTTCTCACTCACTTCCTGGT